CTGCATACTGAAAATCTTTCTAAGAAGAAGCTAGAATTTTTTGTTGATTTTTTTTTAGTACATATTGCACAAAGTTTGATATATTTACACGTTTTTTTGCTAAAGATTAATAAATAACTAAAATTAAATAACAAAACAAAAATCTTGTCGTGCGCTATAATTTTAACACGGGATGTTAATCAGTTTTTATAACTTATAAATGGTTTTTACTAATTTTCGATTTTAATCGAAAATACCGATTAATCGGTTAATTTCTCACGATTAATTGCAATTATTAATCGCATGCTTTCGATTAATCAATTAACCGATTAATCGATTATTAAATTTTTTTTGCCATCACTACTCGGTTCGTTTGCAAAATAGTGATCGTTTTTAAAAAATAGTGAGTGAGAAAAACGTTTTGAAAACAAAAACTCAACAAATAAAAAAAACCTTAAAAAGCTCAGAAAAATCCAAAAGAAGAGACCTAAATGAGACATCTAATTAAAAGGCAACCTAACTGCGCTCGGTTGGGTATAACTAAATGCAAAAATCTGTGCGCATCACCTTCAACTTTTTTGACCTGATATTTAAGCCCTGTATGCAGCTCTCAAGAAAACGGTCAAGAAAAAATTGCCATTATTTCGCGTGTGTATCCAAGGAATTTTGACATTTTTGATNTAGATATAGCGCGTTTAAGTAATAATTTTGTAAAAATTTGCTACCACAGTATGATGTTTTAATTCATTCAAACGAACGGAGTCGACGGAGGGTGGCGACTGGTATAGCCCGCTATAAAACGCTTTATAACTCGGAAAAATCAAAAACGTCCCTTTTTTTGTTAAGGATTTATATGTAAAAAGACCTGATCTTTCGATTGAGATAACTTAAAACCATATTAAAAATGACCATAATTGAGAAAAATTACAAATAAAAATGACCATAATTGAGAAAAATTACAAATAAAATTTCGTTGCGAATTTTCACCGTGAAAATGGGAAAACTTTGGAAAACGCATAACACCATCGGATAGCCCGTACAAAAATCTATATAAATCATGGTTTTTGAATTATTTTTTCCATTTTCTGTCTGCTTTTCAGCTATTCGAAAACAAGCTTGTCTTGCACCGCTCAGCGCGCTTGGGACATTTGACGTGAATCGCCTCATATATGTATGTATGTATATAATTACACACATAGTTCGTACAGTGGTTGTTTTACAATATTCGCAATGTTTTTAAGTTTTCGTTAATTTTTCACGAAAATACTGTTCATATTTTAACAAAAACCATATAAATGAAATTTTCAAACTTTTTGCAAAACTTAAAAAAATTATACAAATTTTCATCAAAACTTTGAATGTCAGTTTTTAGAAAAAAATTAGTATGCAGAGTTGTAGCTCATTCAATCTCATTTAATAAATCGCAAGCTTGAAGTCGCTTTAAATTACCTTTGATTTTTTAGAATTTGATTCTCAAGGGTGTTACATATTTTCTTCCATGAGCAAAATGTAGGTTTGCATGGAAGAAAACGTTCAACACCATTGAGAAAAAAAATCTCAAAAATCAACACAATTTTTCTTTAAAAATTGTGAGTAAAAACTTTGAAATATAGATGAAAATTTGTAGAATTTTTAAAGTTTTGCAAAAAGTTTTAAATTTAATTCGTATGATTTTGTTAAAATATGAACTATATTTTCGTGAAAGGCTACCTAATAACACTATGTGACAGTCAAAATCGGGATGGAATGAAACTAACGGGAAATGTTATATCGGTCAAAAACAAGTTATACGTGGCCCGGCGTTTCGCTGGGTCACGTCTAGGAATCGAGATATATCGATTTGAAGTTAGTAACTATCATATAGGGGAAATTGTCACCTTTGGTGGTCTTTTTTTTGACATAACTCGAGAACCACTAGTCCGATTTTGCTCAAACAAATTAAAAAAAATTAAAAATTACAATTCATTTAATCTGTTGATATAACGTTTTTCTATATACTCAACAGTTTTGCCAGTAAAAATAAATGTATGAAGAAAAAAAAATTATTTTTGCCTAAAAATTAAAATTTTTTTTTTTAATTCATAAAAAATCCAAAACGGAAAAAAGTGTCACGTAAAGTCACATAACATATGAACAAAATGAGACATACATCATGAAAATCAATGTATGCGTTTCGCTTTTATTCAAAATTAAGTAAAGGTATGAATTTCAAAAATTTGCTCGAGATATGCTCAAAATTCCTTGGAAAAGACATTGATGACTTTTTTTGTGATTGTCAGAATTAAAAAATAAGTAATAAACAAAAGGTTATTTGATTTTTATGGTAGCGGTAACAAACTAAAACACGGTCATAAATGTGCGTGGACAATTAAAAGGAAAAAAGGAAAGTGCACTTTTTTAATTATTTGGGTTTTTTCCGTTGGCTACCTGCATGATTTTTTTACACAAATTGCACCCACATTTATGAGTGGTCATGTTTTAGAACGTTTCGAAAAATTTAAAACGCACACGAATCAGGTATATAGCCACCCTTAAAAGATGCGCCAATTCATAAGTACCTCTCAGTAAAATATTGAAACTTACGTGGTATTTATAGGTGTTCATTGATCGATTTTTGTCATTCAACAAGTGTCTCCGAACGCGTAAAGTACGATTTTTTTAAAGTGACGAAAAAGTAATAAAAGTATAAAACCGAAATGAGTGCAAATTGTCCAGAAAATATCAATTTATTTTGTTACGTCTGTGGCAAAAGAGCTTTTTCAACAAATACTGCATTACTCACTGAGCAAGTGGAGCGCGCTTTTAAACTTTATTTTGATTCCGAAATAATTCGCGGCGTTTCGTGGGTCCCAGACAAAATTTGTAAAACGTGCTACAATGGTCTTAACATGTGGATCCAAGGAAAACGCAGTTCACTTCGTTTTGGTGTACCAATGATTTGGACTGATCCAGGAGAGCACAATTCCGACAACTGTTACGCTTGCGCAAACAAAATATGTGGAGTAAATCGTAAAGGCCTTAAACGAAGAGTTTACATATCTGTTAAAAGTGCACAAATACCTCTACCGCATTCGGATGAAATACCAATTCCACCGCTTCCAAGTCCTGACAGAGAAACTTCTTTTTCTATTGAAACAATAGATCAATCGGATTTCACCTATAAACCAACACCAGAAGCCGGCCCATCGAACAAAATAATGAGATACCTTCACTTAATTGTGAATAAAAGCGAAACGCGTCCATCGATTTTCATGATCTATGTCTCATTTTGCTTAAAGGTTATGTGACTTTGCGTGAAAGTAATACGACTTGCCTTTTTTTCCGTTTTGGATTTTTTATGAATTTAAAAAATAAAAAAATTTAATATTTTAGGCAAAAAATATTTTTTTTCTTCATACATTTATTTTTACCGGCAAAACTGTTGATTATATAGAAAAACGTTATATGAACAGATTAAAGGAATTGTAATTTTTAATTTTTTTAAATTTGTTTGAGCAAAATCGGACTAGTAGTTCTCGAGTTATGTAAAAAAAAAGACCACCAAAGGTGACAAATTCCCCTATATGATAGTTACTAACTTCAAATCGATATATCTCGATTCCTAGATGTGACCCAGCGAAACGCCGGGACACGTATAACTTCTTTTTTACCGATATAACTTTCCCCGGTAGTTTGAACCCTTCCTGAACACTGACCCCTAACATTTGTCTCACAGTGTAATCATTATAAAAAAACATTGCGAATATTGTGAAACAATCACAAGCAGTTACATGAATATTTATTATGTATGTTGTAGGTATGTATGTATGTAAGTGTGTCTATTAAGTTTATTAATAGTTATATAACACTGATTTCAACATTTCACTTAATGTTACTTCCAAAATTACTTGTACAAGTGCCCAGTAAAAATATTTGTCATCTAGAGGCGAGCGCCCGCTCGTGGGTGTCACCATAATATTGTTATAACTTTAGAACTACTTGTTGTCTATACCTGAAATTTTCCCAAAAATGTCCGTATATATTTGTCTTTAATGCTGCATTAAAAAAAAAAAAAAAATTTTAAACTTCATAACACAAATTTTGCATTTGTAAAAACCACCCCCTTAATTTTTATAAAAATGTTAAAATAGCCGCCATTTTGTTTTAAACAAGTATTAAGAAGTGCAGTTAGACTCATCTTCTTTAGAATAGTATCTAGTTTATTGTGTACAATTTGCAAATTAAGCGATACATAAACGTCTGAGATTCGCTGTTGTTGTCGCCCAACTTTGCGAGAAAAGAATAACGGACCTGCGCATTGCGCAACCTCTTATATATAAACCTTGATGCAAGGGTGCTTCGCGTAACTACATCCCTTCGCACATATGTACATATGTTTGTATGGATATACCCTGTAGGACCTCGGAATAGACTTAGAGCACACCACAAACTACACTGCAAGTGATTGTAACTAGTCCAAAGTTTGGGCCAAGAGCATGTAAAATTCTATTTACATTTAACATTGAATGTCCTAGGCTCGGACCAATTGTCCGCTTCTGCATTACATTGTAACCAATTTTGGGGGAAAAAGAAAACAAAAATAAAACTTTCGCCAGCTGCGATTCGAACCGGGGTTCTCAGATTTTTGAAGCGGATACTCTCTCTACATGCCAACGCCGCACATGAAAATTCGTTGACTAAGTGCCTACATATCAGCAAATCGTTAATTATACCCATTGTCCGCTACTGCATGACATTGTAACCAATTATGCATTACATTCGGACCACTTTTAGTACAATTCACCTGTTTTACATTACATTGCTTTAAATTTTTGGACTATCTTTGGTCTAGTTGCAAAACTACTATACCTACGACTATATTTTTCGAGCCATTGGACCAATCTTTCCTTCAGGGTATTTATGATGGAAGCAAACGGGCTTCGTTGATGTACTGATGGGCATATGATTGTACTTATGGACAGCAATGTTTTCATGTACATATGTTTGAATGGTTGTATATATATTTGTAAGTATGTACATACCCTGTGGGGAAAATCTCTAGTTCTGAACTGGTGCGCCTGTAGTACGTTTAGACCCTGCACTGGTACGCGATAAATCTCTTTTGCATACAAACAACTGGCGAATTTAACATGGCGATGTCCTAGGAAGTGTCAATTGCATCCGCTGCATCCCTTTTTCGAGTTCGAGTTTTCAATCTTTTCTGTTCTTCCGTGTGCGATTTTGTATTATTTTCAAAGAAACGTTTTTTCTGTTTCAAATTAAATTTGTTTGAATGATTGTAAGAAATGTACGGTTACATACCTTTGGCTGTAGCTGACTTTGCAGAGGTGCTCGCTCTTATTGGCTAGATTCTAGACGGCTCCAAGATGTTAATATGTGAACACAAAGTTTTGTTTTGTATTACCAAACTATGAAATAGCATCTTCGAAGTGCAGAATGAAAGTGCATTTGAACGAAAAAGCCGCCGAATACATATCTATGTAAATTAAACAAGCTCCCGCTGCATCACTTTTTCTATAGTTTCGAACTAGTTCTAAATTCGACAGATAAGATCTAGTTCGTTCTGCGTCCCTTTTTCTATAATTCCAAACCAGTTCTAAATTCGTCACTTAAGAAATATAGATATAGATTTTAATGAAAAAAGAGAAATAAAATAGTTTTTTTAAGAGTCCCACATTTCGCTGATTTTGAACTGGTGGGGATCTACTTACTATCGGACTGGTTCGTTTTTGGCGATAAAGATCTTGTATGGAACTAGAAATTTTATGCACCAGTCCGCGGTTTCCCTGCAGGGAATGTTTGTGTATGTACATATGTTTGTGTACAAACGAAAAACAAATCTAATAAGCTGCTCGTTGATATAAATGCGAACTGTACTGATTGTCAAAAATTATGTGTTTGTACATTTGTTCATGTTTGTCATTGTGCGTGTAATTTTCTAGTGTAGTTTTGTGCTCTCGCTATCTGCTTGTATTAACTCGTCCTTCGTTGGTATACTCTGATGAACATATGTGAAGGTGATAGCAAGGCCCATGATGCCATAATACAAGGTGGTATCAGTTGTGACAGCTCGATTTGACACTGCCTTAGCTCAGTAGAATAAGAAGAAAAACGGGAAGAAATGAATACCCATTTGGGGGAAAAATATAAAACTTCATATTTTCTTCTAAACAAAATTTGCTTTTTTATAGTATATTCGCAACGAAATGAAATAAAATAAGATATAATACCTTTTTGAGAAAACAAAATGTGTATACTGAGAAAAAATAAAAAACATTCAACTATATTATTAGGCAAAGAATTGTTAAAGAAGTAACACTGTTTCACCTAAGGCAGTCAATATGGCGGAATTAGAGCGAAGAAGTTGCCAACGATGACACCTTGTATTAATGCATCATGGGCAAGGCCAACTTATATAAGGAGCAGTTGAAATTTTCGCCCGATGTTTCTTAAAGAAAGCCATAAACGTAGCGACCGTTGGTTCAACTTGGTGTTATTTTGTTCTAGATTGCACCGTTTGTGGGCCTGTTGAATGAATTTATGTCTTGGTTGTATGAAAGATCAAAAAAATTGGATTTTCTGGCAAGTTGTACAACTTATGGCTACATTAATGGCCATGTTGTACAAACTCATTTAATTTGCGTTTATTTTGTACACTAAATAACCGAAAATGGATAACTCAGCCGAAATAGGTACGTGCTTTCGTTGAATTTTATAAATGTAAGCCGAAACTATGAAATTGTAAAAATGAGATTTTACAAAGAGACTGCTCGCAAAATTGCAATGTTTGTGGGCAAAACGTCCAACTTGATTGCGGATTCATTTGAACCAACGTTTTCGGCTTGCATTATGTAAAAAGGATGTGTTTGTTGTAATTCATTCTGTCATTGACCTCCATTATGCGTACCTCAATTCATGAAATCATTTCATGCGTTTGAATAGAAACTGAATGAATGAACACCATTTCATGATTACAATTAACGCGAAATAGAGTTTATGCACTAAGTTTTACTCAGATCGATCAAATGATTTCGTGAATTGGACTACGCATCAGTGTTGCCACTGCCTTAGCCTTCAAAGTATCTTTAAAAAATCGAAAACTGTATCCAAATGAATCCATCGAAAACATTTTTACACACTACATCTATAGAAGAGAAACTCGGCCCTTTAACAAACCTATTAACACGTAGTCAGTATTTTCCCATACTTAGACACGGATTTGGGAAACAAAGGCCCGTAGGTATAGTCAAAATTAAGTCGACTCTAAAGTTAATTGCAGCTTTTTGACATAATTTTCAATGGGATACCTCTCTAAGAATGGGAAAATACTGACTACAACGACGAGCCAAAGTTTCCGCAAGTTCGATGTTTATTACTACGATTAGATTCCCACAAATAATACATGCAAAAAATGTTTCCTAGTCTATCAAAATAATACTAATTTAAACTAATTTTGACCTGTTAAATTTAGTTCAGTAAATTGTTATATCCTGCTGTTATTGTTACAAAGTTTTTCAATCAAATAGGTGAATTGGGAGCTATCTATGAAATTAAAAAACTTCTCAAAAACTTGTATTTGTCTGTAGACTCCGCCTTCAAGAAAAATTTCTATTTCCGGCTTGTTTCAATTGTCGCTTACCGACATATAACTGAAAATATAGAAGCTATAAGTTATTTTTAGTACAGTCAAGTTATTGTTGAAAATTAGTCATCGGCATGGTTGCCAATTTCCTTTGAATGATAAGAGAAGGGTTGCTCGGGATGTAAAAGTTGATTTTTCTGCATTACAGTTAACTACTACAGGTCGGAAAACTTTAAATTTGCAAACTACTTGGTATTATTAAATGCACGTTTAAGTAGCTAAAAAATTAATTTTTCAAAGTGAGAATAAGGGAAAATTTCTTGCTTGGAGGATGAGCAGCCCACTGTTAAAAATGTTATACTTAATAGCTCGTACATAAATAAAAAAAATTTCCTTCGACTTGCGAATACTTATGGGAAAAGGTATCCAAATTTACACTGAGGGAAAAAACGAAGTATCCCTAAAAATTTAAGTCGAAAATGTATCCAATTGGATACATATGTATCAAAACGGCAACACTGCTACGCATACATGTAATACTTATGCTTTTAATTTATAAGGTAATTTTATGTTATATGAATATATGAATTCGTGATAAGAATATATCAGCGGGCCCATGCGCAGTCTGCGCAGACAGAAATACACAGTAAACTCATCCCTATTTGTAGCCACAGATAGAATCAGACTGTTCTAATAGTTCGCGGAAATAATTATTCTTATAAACCCCTTATTTTTATTATACATATATTGAAAACATTAATTAGATTTACAGTACATCAGAACTTATACTTATTAGGTACATACATAAAAACACATTACAAACTGACTAATATATGAGTGTCATGACTTGAGGGAAACATGGTGTCATTTACTTTGAATACAATATGGAGGGAGAAAATATATTCAGAATTAACTTTTTGATTAAATGTTTCTTTAACAGAAACAATAATATATGAGAATCGTCTTACTCTAGTTTAAAACAAAATGGTCCTCTACCCGGAATATTGACAAAGTTCACCTGCACTGTAGCAAACGCAAGACCATTGTTAAATTTACGGATATTCTCCAAATAGTTTTTTGTGATGCCATCATTGCGCTCAATAAGTTCTTTCAGCTCATCGCGGACAGAAATTGGTGGTAAACAGATGTGGCAACAGATGGATGCAGTATTATCAGCGGCCTCGCCTGGATAAAGTTTAGCTGAGCAAAACTCACATATCTTCTCCATGCGTTCAGCACAACTTGATTCTATCTCATCGTCTTTAAGGAAGAGATGTGCACCGCAATACGTCTTTGGTAGCTTTTCTTGCCGCCTCCTTGCACTGACATCTTCACTTAATCGCTGAAAATATGATGGCACCAAAACACTACTAAATTGGGGAGTGAATTGTTGCCTTTGTTCGGCCCGTTGTTTCTGCCTTTGGTTCCGCATACATTCCCTAGCTCGTTGCAAATAGATCTGCCGTTGTTGCATATCTTGGGTTATTGGAAGGCAATTACGTTTTTTTGCGATCAGCTGACACTCCCATACACTTTTTTCGAGGCATTGTTATGCGTAATTATATTAAATCGAATCCTATAGTAGTAAAAATGGTCATTACGATCAACAAAATAACTTTTTGAAATTATAAGGTTATCGATTTTATGTAGACTTTATGAGATAAACGCAATATGTCAGTATATCTAATGGAAAAATTTTTCTGTAAATGAAATGTTGAATTGAAAATCACCAAAAATACCATAATACCAAACACCAATATGCTTACCATACCAATAATACTCGTAATAAATGTATTGCCTAGCAGTTCTCATAAAAGGAATATCCGAATATTTTTCCGACAGGGTAGCCAGAAACAATATGGGCTTCAAATAAGATTGTGATGCGAAATTTACAAAAAATACCATAATACCAATATACATATGAATCTACTTACCGTATCTACAATTTACGCGATAAACATATTTCTCAGCTTTTATCATAAGAGGAAAAAGTGCATATTTTTATTTTTAATATTTTTATTGAGCTTTGTACCACGATTGTTTATTAAGAAAAATTGAAAAAGCAACAAAGTCTTCGCGGTAGAAGTTATAGCAGCTATTTCGGAGATCACCACATCTCTTCATCAGACTTCTTTTTTCTAGACTTCAGCAGGGATCGAACCAGCGAATTCGTTGTTCAAAGTCAGAAGCGTTTACCACTGAGCTACATATGTACATCCCGTAAACTCTTGTTGCTAAATCATCTTCCTTATTCAACCAACTACTATCAAGTGCAGCTGATTTGCCGCTATTTAAACTCGACAGCGTGGTTGTTGTTGTCAATTCTATACATCCATTTGCTTATTTGCTTTTTTGTATAGTTTCAGGCAGGCTCTTCCTAAACTATGTATTTGTCAATGTTATTGTGGCTTATTAACATTTTTATTTTTAATATTTTTATTGAGCTTTGTACCACGATTGTTTATTAGGAAAAATTGAAAAAGCAACAAAGTCTAAGCGGTAGAAGTTATAGCAGCTATTTCGGAGATCAGCACATCTCTTCATCAGACTTCTTTTTTCTAGACTTCAGCAGGGATCGAATATTTTTAACTGACAGCGCAGCCCGCTACAATTCTTAATATTGAACTTCCTATTATTTGGATTACAGTTATGTTTAAGCTTGAAGTCACAATAGCGCAGTATTTTGAAGTTAAGTGTTATTATGGTGATGCCACAGATGGCGCGCTTTAACAGCTTCGTTCTTGTACGAATTGTGTGGTTTATATTGCAGAGTTGAATAAGAATTCGTGAATGATTTCATGAAATCATGAAAACTAAAAAAAGCGGCATAAATATGTAGCAGCTATCAATACTAATCAAAAGTTTTGAAAAAAACGTTATTTGTAACTTTTTATTTTTATAGTTAAATGTTTAAGTGTTTTTTGATATTATTTTAGACGTAATAATCTATTGGGGGAAAATAGTGTATTTAAAATTTTTTATAAAGAAATAATGTTTTCTTGATGTTGTATTAAGTAGTAGAGATGTATACCCGTATATAAATATATATGTATAAGAACTGAGGAATACAAAAAGCATTTTATGTTAAAGATTTAGATTTTGAATGCCATCTAAAGTGCACGATGACTCACACGTGAAAGATTTTGTTAGTTGTTATATAATTAGTAGTTATATAATTTCACCAGTAAAGCGCGGTTTCAAAATCGAATCCCAATACGATCACAATATGGTTTTCGGCTTTTATATTTGAATTTATGTAAGTATATTCACTATATTTAGAATGAAAAAATTTAATTTGATGTAAATTACTTGGAAAAAATTTTATTTATTTATTATTTCAATAGTAAATATTTTACTGTAAAAAATTAATAATAGATTACCTACTTTTTAACGGATAGGCCTTTTAAAAGATCGTAATTGTATAAAAAAAAATGTTGTGCTCACTTTACGAATTCGTACCTAATTCTGTAGACATTTTTGACCTCATAATTCATGAACAAAGGGAACCCCTATAGCGCGCCATCTACCGACTGAAATCGGCAATTAGTATTGTAAAAGTATTGAAGTGCTATTGTGACTGTAGGCTCGGTTTGGTTTTGTTTATTTGTTATTGACGTTTGGATTTTCTTCTTTTTGCTCATGAATAAATCACAATAAGCAATTTTCAGAGTTGTATTCGCGAATTCAATTTCGCTGAAAATTCATACGCAATTTCACGTGATATTTTTTTCTATGGTCAAATTGAGAATTGTATCGCGATTTCAGCTAAAATTGAGGATAATGACGAAATTGCGCAATTCAGGCATCGTGAAAATACCCTTTATGAATTTGATACCACAACTTTGATATTGTACCACATTTTCCAATTTTTGGCTATTCTACAATGTTTTTTTTTTCACTGACTACTGCAAATTATACTATATATATAAGATAACTATATAAGAAAATTGAGGTTATTGAAGCACAGTATTTTCCTAACGGTGATTTTTTCAATGTTGTTCTAAATTGTGTAACATTATTTTAAATTTTCCTTTTTTATTTATAAATTTACGGTCTTAATATTGAGCACTATGGTATTTAATTCCTTATTATTATTTTCTCTCTTATTGTCGCGTCCCATGATTCAATAATAAAAGGATAATTATGAGATAATTATTGGCAGCCGCGGTTTAACACTCTCTTACAAAACAAAAGGGTGCACTTACGAAGGACAGAGAAAGAGGAATAATGAAATCCCCTGGTGCGAAAATGGTCGTAGAAAAGTATGCAAAGTCGGCAATTAGTAGTGAATTTCCTTTTGCGAATTCTAATGTATTTGCAGGAAAATTGGTATTTCAAACGAAGTATTAAGAATTATACGTGAATTTTGTAATTTATTTCATTGGTTAATTGTGCTTTATTTGAATATAAAAATAAACATATTGCACAAAAAACGTATACTTCTATTTCACACGTACATAAGCTACTATTTTTTTAATTTGCAAAGAAGCAAGACGGTGCCACGGCTAAGGGAGCTGTGCGAGAGAGACAACTGTCAGTTTATCGAACCATTAATAATTGAATTATGTGTGCGCCCACCACTGTCGTATACGGTGTAAGCGATGCTGCAGTCACAATAGTGCTTCAGTACAAAATACCTTTAGTGTGGCTTAACAATGGTAAATTAAAAACAAACATAAAAAAACAAATTTCTTTACTTCGGAGGAGCTATGACCATTAATATTACCTGATAACTACTCAGGGGACCTCTGACTTTTCAAATGACACCTCATTAGTGGAACTGCTTACATAGGAAAATAGAAAAAGGGAGACTAACAAAAAAACACCTTAGAGAAATAATATATATGATGATGATGATGATGATGAATTCGCCTTCGAAGATAGAAAGCGAACAAGAATAAATGCCGAACAAAGGAATTTGTCTTCTTTCAACTTAAGTACATGCATTTTGCAAACAAAAGTGCGTACGTTACTTAGTGCCTTGGTAATGGCGAATTCGTAAGGATCTATTGATTGCATTATAAACATTTTCATTAACATAAACATATAATTACTTCCAATACAACCCGGTCCTATGGATGCTAGAAGCGCGAATTCATATAAGGTGGTGTTACCGGAAAATGAATACATAAGTTATATGTATATAAATTAATAAGATGAAATGAAATTATTGTTTGATTTCTAACCAAACCTATGTATGTAACTCAATCGCCTAATGGTTTGCCGAACCGTAAAGATATGTTTACACATCCAATTTCGTGAGTAGGTACCTGGTACTCACACCTTTTTTAAGAAGTTTCACTTCTATCATGTGTACGGTGTTACACACGCATTTTTTAAATTAAAATGGAAGGTCTGTGGCAATAAATGGGGCTCCTGGCAGAAACACATTTTTTCCTTTGCCGCATCCGTAATAATTGTTGTTGCATATTGGTCATCATTTTATTTACTACCAATTTTGTTTCGTTATTAAGGTCAGGTAGATCAAGGTATCGAAAGAAGAATGAAATGCGCTTCTTTCAAACTCTTATTTTTTTGTTTACAACAGGACATTCCGTTTAGCTGTCTGTTCGTAATGGGTCAGAGACTATGGTGCTCTGAATGAACTACATCTATTAGAGGTGCCATGCGTCTGGTAAACACGTAAACAGTCACTATATTCTAGTTTACTACAAACGCCACGCCCTCTTGTATAAACTCATTTGTATAGCATTTTCCGGTCAAATGAAACCTTTTTCAACCCAAAGGAAACCTTTTTCAAATCAACTGAAACCATTTTTAAATCAAATGAAACCTTTACAATTCGAATGAAACCTTTCTCAAGTCAAATAAAACCATATTTAATTTGTATGATATCGTCAATTTACTGTTTTTATACATCGCTTTTACTACCCAAAAGTTATTGTGTTTTTAAATGTTTACTATGTTACCTGCCCCACTGTATTTATTACGCTCTTTTTTACTGCTATTTACCATGCAGCCTTTTAAAGGAACAACTATTAATAAAACAATCACAAATTAAATAAAATTTACTGTTGAAAGAAAGAGTGATAAGCAGTAGGCGTCCCGCGTAACCGTCGCACGTTCGCGATCGTAAGTTTTCATGTACATGGCGTTCTCATAAGTTTGATCGTGTCAGCTGACACGTTAACGTACGTTTACGTCGGTGAGTGTAGGCACCATAAATGAGGATGTAAACGAAATAGAAAAAAGTGAGTACAGTAGCTCGTTTCTGTAACAATTCTCTACCAACGCAAATTCATATGTTTTCTTGCTGCTAATGAGTAGTAGAGAATGACCACGATTGAGAGAAATAGAGATTGCGCCAATCGCGGTACCACTAATCCGCTTTTTGTGATTTTGACAGAATGAGCTGTGTGCGTGACGTCATCTTGGTGCAATTGTTGAATGTGAGCATACGAAAAAACCAAATAACAATTTTAATATTTGTGCGTGGTTTTAAACAATTATTGAGACATTAAAAAGCAAAATGAAGTGTGCAGTGGCAAAGTGTAATAGTGAAAACAAAAGGAAAGCGTGCTATATAAGTTCTTTTTTCGTTTCCTACGGACGCAAACCTGGCGAAAAAGTGGAAGCAGTTCTGCCGGGGAGGACATGCATTAAACACCAAATCGAGCTTTGTGCTATGTGTGTGAGCTATGAGCTTCTACATGGAACTATGTTGGCCTTTCCTTGGTGAATTGTAGTAGGTATATTTCCATGGTGAATGTAGACAGTTGCTGGTTTAGTTTTCTGGAAATGACATACATACAAAAGCAGTTTCTACAGTAAATAGATACATGAACTTCACTACCTATTTATTTTTGTTAGTACCTGATTCTTTTAGTGCTGGTATGAGGTAATGCACCAGTGGATAAGGTCGCCAGGCGCTAATTCAAGCGGCATCTTACCGCGCTGTTACGTACCTAATACAAAACAGTGCCCAAATTATTATACATTTAAAAGTTCAGCTTAAATTATGTTTTAC